TATATATATAATATATATAAATATATATATTATATATATATTATATATTATATATATATTATATATATTATATACACCAATGTATATGCATGCATATAAATGTATATTTCTATGTTTACATACAAACATATATGCGGGTGTCTGTACGGCTCGCGTTTAGGGTTTAGGGTTTAGGGTTTAGGGTTTGATGTTCTTACTCTGCATTTTCTAGCTGCAGCATCAGCGTATACACTCCAGTGCTGCAGCGCTTTGCTTCCAAACCCTCCTGCTGCACCTTCTTCTAGCAGCAGCAGCACGTCATGATTAGCAGCAAGCTGCAGCAGCAAATCTGCATCTAAGGGTCTCAAGAAGCGGGCGTCTGCTACTGTAACACCAATTAAAGGATCTCCTTTTGCTACTGTTGCTGCTGCTGCTGCTGCTGCTGCTGTTGGTGCTGTTGCTGCTGCTGAGGGCGCTACTGCTGTTCCTGCTGCTCTTCTTGCTGCTGTTGCTGTTGCTGCTGCTGCTTCTGCTGCTGCTGCTGCTTCTGCTGCTGCTGCTGCTGCTTCTGCTGCTGCTGCTGCTGCTGCTGCTTGCTCGGGTTGTGGAAGTGATGTTATCTGCTGCAGAATTGCTGCTGCATTTACCGCGTCAAGAAGAAGAGTGCCGATAGACAGCAGCGCCACCTGCATGTACACCCCAACTAAACCCTAAACCCTAAACCCTAAACCCTAAACCCTTGACAAGCGATGGCCTGGAGCCTACTGAGAAGTTTCAGACCCTTCTATCGAGGGTTTAGGGTTTAGGGTTTAGGGTTTCTCCACGGGGGGCCCGGGTAGATAAACAAAACCTACACGTGTGTACACCTGACAAGCAAGGGTTTAGGGTTTAGGGTTTAGGGTTTAAGCTAACCTTGTACTTAGCATTAGGGTTTGCGCGTAAGATGATGCGGCCCTTCCCGATGGGTAAGGGCTCCGCCTCAAGCGGAAGCTCCTTAAGGTTGTGTCTGCATGCAAACCCTAAACCCTAAACCCTAAACCCTGAAAAGTGAAGAGTTGTCGCCCGTACAAGCAGAAAACCCTAATCCTTTCAAACCCTCGAAGCAACTCAAACCCTAAACCCTAAATGTGGATACCAGGGCTTAGACGGCTAAGACAGTATCGCCTAGGGCGCAGACAGAAGGGTTTAGGGTTTAGGGTTTAGGGTTTAGGGTTTACCCAAGTTTGCTGTTGAGGGTTTCAAGACCGAAGCAAGAGCTCCGCGGGAAGCGAAGCGCAGAAGGGCCAGAATTCAGCAGATACACCGTCTGCAGGCCCAAACCCTAAACCCTAAACCCTAAACCCTAAACCCTAAACCCTAAACCCTAGCATGAATTGAATAGAAGTTAAGCTTAAACCCTATCAATGCATTTCTTCTCCTCCGCGCATAAACCCTTGATTGCCTCACCCCTTCCCTCACCCCCCCTCCCCCCCCATAAGCCCTAAACCCTAAACCCTAAACCCTAAACCCTAAACCCTACTTTGAGCATGCGGAGGAGTTCGTATTCATCGCTGGGCGCCATCACAGTAAAGTTGGGGACGTTGCTAAGAAAAGATAAATCGAAGGCCCCCTGATGAGTGCTTCCGTCCGCCCCTACTAACCCTGCGCGGTCTACTATAAACCTAAACGCAAACCCTAAACCCTAAACCCTAAACCCTAAACCCTTGAACCTTATAGAGGACTATATATATATATATAAACAGGATTATAAACCCTCAATAGCACCTTATTGTCGGCTTTCAAAAGAGAACCCCACATTCACGAGGAGCGACACGCAACTGCAAACCCTAAACCCTAAACCCTAAACCCTAAACCCTAAAGCTCAATCCGTGAAGTTAAACCCTCTAGCCTTGAGTGCCAATCCTAGACAATAGGGCATAGCGCATTCATAGTTAACATCTTTGAGGGTTTGCTAAAGGTTTAATTAGGGTTTAGGGTTTTATTAGGGTTTAGGGTTTGACAAGGGCACGGATGAGGTGTGTTAGTCTTCTAAGGGTGTATCAATCCTATCGTGTTTTTTCTTAGGGTTTAGGGTTTAGGGTTTAGGGTTTACCTGACGGGTAGGTTTTGAATAGCAACATCATGTATGATTTGGTCGTAGGCTCTTTGTAGGAAGGAGCTGTATATACAGCAGAAGGGTTTAGCAGCAGCAGCAGCAAGACCAGCAGCAAATGTAGCAGCGTGCTGCTCAGCAATTCCTACATCATACAGCTGCTGCGGCAGCAAAGACCCCACAAGTGCTAACCCTGTGCCTCCCGGCATTGCTGCTGTTATGCAGACTAAAGAAGTATCAGCAGCAGCAAGCTGCAGCAAACCCCGAGAAAATATTGAGGTCAAAGACACGCGCTGCTGCTGTCCTGAACCTCCTCCTCCTCCTCCTGCTGCTGCTGTTGCTGTTGCTGCACCTGCTGCTCCTGGTGCTGCTGCTGCTGCTGCTGCTGCTGCTGCTGTTGGTGATAGTGCGACCTTTTCCTGCTGCTGCTGCTGCTGGTTTTGCTGCTGTTTCTGCTGCTGTTTCTGCTGCTGCTGTTGCTGCTGCTGGTCTTTTTCTTTCTCCGCTGCCCACGCGGCAGCAGCAGCATCTGCAGGACGTACTGCAGCAGCGTGTAAGCCCTTGCTGCTGCTGCTGCTGCTGCTGCTGCTGCCTGCATGCAAGGCAAGGTGAGGCGCTGCCTCTACTCCGTGCATGCGGTCTGGGGCTGCCAGTGCTGGGGGGTATCCAAACCCTTTTTCTGTCTTCAAATGCAGCACCGTCGGCCGACTCAAACCCTCGCGCTGCAACACCCACAAACCCTAAACCCTAAACCCTAAATCCTAAACACTGTCGGCTGAGACAAACCCTTGCGCTGCACCACTCAAAAATCCTAAACACTAAACCCTAAACACCGTTGGGAGAGTCATTCCTCACTGCTGCACCACTCAAAAACCCTAAACCCTAAACCCTAAACCCTAAACCCTAAATGGCCACTCAAGCCGTCCGTCTGCACCACTGAAAAACCCTAAACCCTAGACCCGTAAACCCTGGATAAAAGGCAGTTAAACCCTAAACCCTCACCTTAATTTGCTGCAGGATGGAGACGAGGGTTAGGACGTCGTGCCCATCAACAGGCCCCACGTAGTCAAACCCTAAACCACCGAAGAAAGCAGCTACCCCCTGCTCCCCCTGACCCGGAGCCTGCACAGCAGCTACATCCTGCTGCTGCTGCTGCTGCTGCTGTTGTTGCTGCTGCTGAGATATAGATGGGGAGCTGCGGCTCTTCAACAACCGACGCATGTGCCGAGACACTGCGCTGGCAGGCGCCGTTCCCCCTACAACACAAAACCCTAAACCCTAAACCCTAAACCCTAAAACGTGGTCCCTAAACCATAAACCCTAAACCCTAAACCCTAGACGCAAAAGTCTGCATGGGAAAAGAGGAGTGAAGCAGCGCCGTACAAACGAGGCGCCTGCTTGTGTGGAGGGTTTAGGCTTTTAGGGTCTAGGGTTTAGGGTTTAGGGTTTAGGGTTTGTACCAGCGGAGTTCGTGCCTGTAGGAAGAGACACTTGCTGATTGTCATTCAACATAATAAGGATGGGGGAGCGAAGAAACCCGCAGGCGTTGAGGGCCTCGTAAGCCATGCCGCCCGTGAGGCCCCCGTCCCCTATACACAAACCCTAAACCCTAAACCCTAAACCCTAAACCCTAAACCCTAAGTGTGGGATCAAAAGGGGTCTGGAAGTGGAGATGAGAGGAAATGTAAATGCATATTTATTTCTCCTTGCTTGAAGCTGCTCACGCTTAAACGCTACCTACAAAATCTAAACCCTAAACCCTAAACCCTAAACCCTAAACCCTAAACCCTCGGCGTACCGATGACAGCAACATAGAGGCCTTCTTCTTTTTTCTGCAGTCGATTTGCAACGTACATCCCCTGAACAGCGCTGATGGAAGTGGAGGAGTGGCCTATACACAAAACCCTAAACCCTAAACCCTAAACCCTAAACCCTAAACCCTAAACCCTCACCTCTTGCTCATAGTAGAGGAGCCCCCACGTTAAGCGTTAAACCCTAAATTGCGATTTTAGGGTTTATAACAGGGTTTTGAGGATGAGGATTTAGGGTTTAGGGTTTGGGGGTTAGGGTTTAGGCTTTAGGATTGAGGAACATGGTTTAGGGTTTAGGGCTTAGCTATTATTAGCTATTAGGGTTTAGGGTTTAGCTATTATTAGCTATTAGGGTTTAGGGTTAAGGGTTTAGGGTTGAGGACAAAAGTTTAGGGTTAAGGTATGATAAGTTATTAGGGTTTAGGGTGAAGCTATAACGATATATTATACGCTATTAGGGTTTAGGGTTTAGGGTTTAGGGTTTACCAGCCCCAAATGGATCATAAAGAGATTCTTTTTTACAAAGAAATCCCGACAAGCCGCCGCATTGACGCAGACGGTGCATCAAATGACGACGGCCTGTCAGCATCTGCACATACACCCCAAATAAATATAAATAATAATAAATATAAACGCATTAAATTAAATTATATTAAATTATATTATATTATATTAAGTTTAACTAAATAGATTCAAATAAAGAAATAAATGTAAATGTACAGATATTAAGAAATCAAATACTTAAAAAGAGACAGCTGCACATACACCCGAAAGTAAAATAAATAAAAATAAATAAAGATAAATTAAAATCAATTAAAATAAATTAAAATAAATATAAACAAGAAAACAAAAAAAGAGAGGCAAATATAACAAACAGACAAACAAAGAAAAGAGACGAAATAAAATAAAGAAAATAAAAATAAACGGGAGACAGCAAAAGATAAACAAAAGAAAAGCAAAGAGAGACAGATGAAGAACAAATAAATAAAGAAGAAGAGACAGATGAATATAAACAAAAGAAGAAGAAGAGACAAATAAATAAAGAAGAAGAGACAGATGAATATAAACAAAAGAAGAAGAAGAGACAAAT